ACTGTCCCAGCAACGCATGCGGTGGCCTGATTCAAAATTAAATCAAAAAAAAAAAAAAGACAGCTCTGCATTTGAAATGACTTGTTTTATGGGTTGAGTGATTTTGATAAAAACTAATGAGATCCACAGCCAGACGGTTTTGTTTTCACAGCTGACGGCCACCTTGCGTAACACATTAACATCAGCAGATATTTTTCCAGGGACAAATACATGTCTGACCGTGAAGCAATGATTCCTGAAGAAACTGCCTACCCAGCTCCAGAAGGAAGCTGTCGGTGCAGTCAGCTGCCTGCTGTGTCTATACAGGTTGCTGAGAGTTTCTGTTGACTTTAGGCATTTAATAGGAACAACTTAAAGTTTTCACTTCTTGACTTGAGCAAGCCCAGAGCAATATCACATCCTTTCTGTTCTTCTGCAAGCAAGTTCAGGACATTAATTCAATGGAGATATTCGTTCATTCTTCCACAAAAATGGTATGGTATGTTCATTGCATGGCATTTTAAGGGCATTCCTAAATTTCACAAGAACTCAAAAATGAAGGAAAATGTTTCCTGCTGACTGCTGAACACTAGTGGTAGGCTATTAACATAAAGCTTTTGTACTATGTAAACCATGCAAAAATATCCTATAATTGAGTCAGAAGTCAGAGGAACTGGAACAAATTCTGTGCATTTTTAATAGTGAGGATAATTAATTGTTAGATCAAAATATCAATTTCATTGCTTCAAATAATATTACAATCATCACTTACCACATGCAGTTGTGCAACTGAATTTAGCTCACCTCTGTAAACTGCTCCCAAAACTGATTATTTCAACCAAAATACAGAAAAAAGAAAAAAAAAACAAACCTCCCAACAATAGTAGTTTTTAAGTAAAGCTTTTGGCCAGAAATGGAAATTCTTCAGCCAAAACTCCTGAACTTCTTTCTTGACTACACTGCTTGTGACTCAATGACACACCCCCAGTGAGTCATCCTTGGTGCAATGTGTGAAGCTCACTCATGGCTGTTATGGGAAACGTCATCTCCCTGAGCCTCCAGCAGAGAAAGAGTGCAGGAGGTAGCAAAGCACCAGCTTCTCCAGGCTCCACTGTAGCACCTCTAAACCTAAACAACACATTCAGCCTTCTGGTTTTGAATATTCTGTTTCTCCACTAAATGATCAAAAGGATGTTTCACTGGAAAGTTTTCAACCGTCCCTACAAATGCCTGAGTTCAGAGAGTTTTTAAAGGGATTGAGTCTGGCTTAAGTGAGCTCCAGCTAGAGATTTCAGCTGGTTTAAGACTTTCAAAAATCTATTTCACTGAAAGCAGCAGGTGCCTGTTTGCTCCTTTTTTCATGTAGATGAGACCTGGTGTTTGACCACAGATGGTGTTACTGACAGGCTGCTGCTCTTTCAACACAAGTCTCCCTGCCCCCTTCGCCTCTCCTCCCTCCCACCATAGTGATGCTCAGGAGGGAACTGGCTCTGATTGAACTGTTTACCAGCTCCCTTGCACAAACCTTTTCTTTGCCCCCAAACTCTTAACCCTGCCACCTGAACCCTGTTTTCTCAGCCCAGAGAGAAAGCTGCTCGATGTGTAAAAGCCTCATGGGACAAAGAAGTATCTACCCTGACCGTGGCTGTACACAACATTTAAGATAACAGACAGCAGCAGTGCGTTTATGGGCCTGGTATGCAGCTCAGACCCAGGATGCATCAGGCTATGGTGAAAAATGGATTTTTAAAGGTGCTTTTGTGCAGCCTTTCATGCCCAGCACTCCAATGTTTCTGCTGGAGCCAATGAGAGAGTACACACAGGGCATAACGTGTCTGTTGGAAAACTGACCACTTAAGATGCTTCAAGGGGTTTTGGAAAAAAGCTCTTCCCTTGGGCCTAAACGGAACATACTGAAAAATAATGGATTATGGGTAATGAAAAAAATGGATTATGTTCTACCCATGTAGGAATGGCAGCCTAGCCCCCAGAAAGCCCTGTGTGTACTACAGCACCCAATCTAAATTTCCAGTTGTTTAAAATAAAGACTACGGAGGAAGGTACTGGTTGTACCCTGTGTATCTGGTCCAGGCAACATCTGTGCCTGTGACAACCCTGATATGTTGGGGCTTTTTAACTTCAAGCATCTGAGATTCTTCTGTCTAAACCTTGGCAGTCCCCAGATTTATCTACTGGACACCACCACACAATGGTTTACAAACAGCTTTTCCGTATGATTATAAGAACAGTAATGGGAATAACAGGAAACTGTCCAAACAAAACCAGAACACTTACCCTACCAGACTTTGCTCCTCTGAGGTGCCTCCATCTGCTTGCTATCCACAACACTGCAGAAAAGATTAGACCTGCTGCTAAAACCTTCCAGTTTCCATTCTGCTCATTCTTTTTCCTTCCTAAAACACGCAGCTTATCTCAGTTTTATCAAGGCTTTTTACTGGAGGGCAAGGTTAGTGTCTGTTAGCAAGGAAAGGTGACCCTTTGGAGACACTCGCCTTGAAGTCCCTGATTTTGAGTATCAAATCATGACCCTGCACTCTTCCTCTGGTTTGACTGCCCTCACACACCCGGCCAAATGAGAAGGCAGCCATAGTGATAGAGCCCGCCAGAGGACACAACAGTAACCAGGGGTAAACCTCCTTATACCTAAACCCAAAGCAGCCTGGTGAAGCTAAAAGTACAAAAAAGAAACTCAAACCCAGCAATCACTCTGAAAACTTGGGAATGGAAGGTCTCAGAGGACCAACAGAGGAGAAAGGCACGGGAAAATGGATGTCCTTGAGGTTATGGCTTGGGACTGGGTAGGCGTCACTTCGGTCAGTACTCATCTCTCTTGTTGACTTCCAGGTCCAGAGCACCTGTGGAAGCAGCTCCGAGGTGGCCCTCCAACCCTCCCAAAAGCTTGCACCACAACTGCAGGCACAGTTTCACATCCTCCCAGGAGCATGTGGGATGCAGCCTGCTCAGCACACTTGGTAGGTCAATGCGGCATCAGGGGTGCTCCTGCAGCCGGCTGGGTGTGCGGGCGCAAAGGCAGCCTGGCTGGAGCCCTGCCAGAACTTGCTTTTTCAGAGCAGCAGGGATAAGCTCTGCCTCGACTGCCTTTTCTCCCTTCCTGCTATCTTAATAACAAGAAAAAAGACTCTTTCACTGGGGGAAGGTGTGTGTGCATGGAGGTGTTATGGAGCATACATGTGGGTGCGTCAGCAGGCAATATTATTCCGTCTTCACTGTGCACTGAGGACACTCCCAGGGCACAGCAAGTTCTCCATCCTGCAGTGGCACCACCTCTGTCTCCAGCAGTGTGGCAACCTTGGTTATGACCAGTTAGCAGAGTGTATCTCGAGCGCTGTAAATCCACACCTACACAGCCACACTCCTAGCCTGTGCCCAACACCCAGCTCAAAGGATCTGATCTCGCTGCAGGGCTCTTATTGCAGCTCACTTTATAAAAAAGGTACACTTGTGCCAGTTCTCCGTGCCACCGCCCCAGCGATGGAGGCAATGAGTTCAACCAGTGTTTCTCCAAGCAGACATCAATGTCCCTGGAGCCACAACACAAGGATCCCTCCCATTTGCTTTAGAGGACCAGGTGGGATCAGGACCGTTGCTGGAGGTGCTCTCACCCCCATAATTTGGAAACTGCTGGCTTAGAGCACAGGAAAGAAAGCTCTGAAAGTCATTCTTCTCAACTCACACTCTTATTTGTTTTATAGCAAGACACTACCTGGGAAAGGACTTTGCTTTCTTGTGGGGCAGGGCCCAATAGAGCAGACATTCCTAGGGAGCCAACATTCATTAAGGCTTCTGCATTTGTTGTTATCACAGATTATTGCATTGCTACCTAAGCAGCCCAGCTGAGCTCAGGACCCTGCCATGCTGGGCATGCAAACACACAGTAAGGGACAGCCTCCAGTTCATCACTAGATAGAGGAAGAGAAAGGAAATGTGTGGGGAAGGATGCACAAAGAGATTAAATGAGGCGCCCAAGGTCATCTGAGAAGAGTGTGGCCATCAGGGCTATAAACCAAACATATTTTTCCCTGCTACTTTACTCCTCCTACTGTAAATCTTATCACTGGTTGTGGGAGGGGGGTAATTTGGAAGATCCACCCTTCATTTAGTTAATTGTGATTGTTACCAAAAACATTGTGTAAATAACACGGGCAGTGTGTTCTACGTTTCAACATGCCATAAAATATATTCCACATTATGAATTTACCTGCTGGCTTTACAAGACTGTGATGATTAGTGACAGAGAAATATGCTAGAAAAACACCAAATGAGAAGAAAAAACAAATACAGACACATACCCTGCCCAGTCCCATTTTGACTGCACAATTGGGCTCCTGGTCCCAATTATGGCCCCAAGCTGGGTGATACTGGCACAGAATGGTTTTCCCTGTGTCCATATAATGGTGACTGTCATATCTGGACTTTTTACAATGGGGCAGATTCTGAGTTTCCAAGACAAGGATAAGAACAGGCTTTCCTTCCCAGAGATATCTCCTGCAGCCCTTGGATCTCCACAACTCTGTGGTTCCCTTGTGAGGCTTAAATGCCAGCTTTCCCAGGGGCTGCAGGCAGGAAAGGAGTGTCCTGGCAGAGCCCAGACCAACAGCCCAAGCGCACCATACCGCACCGCAGATGTTCAAGCCATGTCTCACACTGAGCATCAGGGCTCAGGCACCTGAGTAACCTGAACTCTTGCTTTGGGGAGGAAACAAGCCAGGCAGGGCTCCTGAGACCAGCACAACCCACCCCACAACGATTTTAAGCAGCAGCTCTTGAGCTTGGGAAATGTGGCCATTCCTGACATGGCAGATTCCTCCCAGGCATCTCCTGAGCTGACGGCATCACTCAGTTTGTGTGTTACAGGAGGTATGAAGGATCCAGTCTCATTGCTCTGAGTCCTACCTCCACACCGCACGCACAATGGCCCTGGTTCACCCCCCTCTGTCCCACAGTGCCTCACACCTATGACGAAGTAAAACTCTACTTACAGATCTGTGACTCCGGAGATCTTAGTATCTTCTTCGATTCCTGCCATATGGTTTTGCAGTCTTCCTGGAGCTTATAAAACCGCTCCTTTCTCCAAGAGCTTGACTTCACTTTTAGCAGCTGGCTGCCTTTCAGGAGGAACTTCAGATCCTTGTCATCTTTCAGGCCTGAAGAGAAATAGTAGTGGTAATGTTGTAAGAGTCAGCTCAAGAAATGATGCTCATAGAGTCTTCCTTTCCACTGGACACTAATCACAGACATAGACAGCCCACTGCAGTGCAGCCAGGTCTGGGGAGGACGGCAGGACAGAGAGACCCAGAAACCTGCCATGCCACACGTTATGCTCACAGAGGCCAGAGCCTTGTAGATTTCTTAGATTGATTCCAAAGACTTTTGTACTGTAATTCTCAGGTGGTTTACAAACATAAAACACCTTCTTCCCAACAAATACAGTATAATGTTAGGATGCGAAAACTACAACAAAACCAACAAGGTAACAGTAAAAGCAGAGGAAAGAAAGTCGTGTAACTTGTAATTGGAGTACTGTCAGGAACTTTCAAGTGATTTCAAATCTATTCTGTGACAAATTTCCTTTATGGAAACAGGAATACACAAAGATACCTCTCTCCCTTCTCTGGCAAGCAGTCCCCTCCTATCCACATGGGAATTTTGAAGACCAGTGTTATGAAGCTTAGGACATACACAGATAAGTTTTGTGGCAGGCAGCATCACATCAATAAGGTAGCAACAAGGCAGCCGCCATGTCCTTCTCATTGCTCAGCTGGTATTCGAGAGGACCTTTATTTTTCTTACCCTACCAGGCCACCACAATGCCAAGTAATAATAAACAGACTTTCTGGTTGCAGGAACTTCAGGTTTCACATCATAGCCTAGATTCAGGAAGGCATTTAGACATCTAGAGAGGCAACAGGTATCTACTGAGACTTTGAAAACATAGATTGGGCGTTCTACACGGTTTTGAATATCTCAGCAGTGTATGACTTCCACATACCTAAATACCTTGGAATCTGTCCCTCAAACCAACCATTAATTACAGATCTGGAGCGTGTGGGCTGGGGAGGGTGAGAGCCTGAAACATGAGAAACACATCCCGGGCTTTCCGTAATAGGCACCTTGCAGCTCTCTGACATTGCATGAAAGGCTGGTTCAAAGCTGGTGCAACAGCATTTAACTCTGTAGCACTGACCGAGCACAGCCCAACTCAATGGGATTTTTGCTAACCTTATCTCAACAATGCAGGTAACCACTCGGCTTCTTGCAGCCGCCTGACACTCACACCATGGGAAATTTCCCAATGCTACGTAAATATAACGCAGGGTCTTGCAAAGCAGAAATCCAAGTTAACTGATTTATGCAATAACATTTATATTGCAGTGCGACCCTCCGCTGTGACATTGGGTTTGTCCTTCCCTGGAAGACACACCTGCCTTGAATTGTGTTTTTAAACAGGGCTACCAAGCATCGCTTCAGGCCTGCTTGAAAAATAAAACCCAGCATGAAATCCCAGTGGCCAAATCCCCAGAATCCTGACAATTCACACAGGAAACCAAAGTGCCGGGTGCTGCAGAGAACCAAGGTACGGCATGGTGGCAGCAGCGGAGAGCAGCACCATGGTTTGCAACAGGGATACATTAGTCCAAAGAGAGTATTCTAGGTTGCCAAAGAAAGCCTGAGATCTCCATCAGAGATAAATGTTAGGGGTGTCCAGTGCCCGCTCAGTGAGCCGCTCACATCGTTTTACTGGTTTTGCAGAGGCCAAGGAGCATGCCCAGAGCTGAGCCTGGCTGAGGCATCCAGACTTGAAAACACCACAGTGGGAGCTGAAGATCCTGAAAAGGTTGCTGTGGTCTCTCTCCTTTCTCCACATTCAATTAGCTATTTCATTAATTAAGTGTCTTCCCATGCTACAGCATCCCCTGGGCCTCTCAGCTCATGTCTGGTCTGGGGGTTCCCAAGAGAAGAATTCGAATGCTTCCTCCTCTGGAAGCCTCAGGAAAAAACTCATGTAGAGAAGAAAAGAAAAGCCAATGGCTGCAAAACACAGAAGGGTCAAAGATTGATCCCAGCTATGGGATCTGGGTCACCCTCCTGGGTTTGCTGAGGTTCAAGCATACCCAGGTGTTGACAATAGGCCAGACCATCCCATTCTTCCTTCTCTCTATTCACCCACAACATTTCTGTTCTGGCTCCCAGCCTCATTCTTTCTCTTTCTTTAGATTCCAAAATGTGAGGCCTTGTTATGGCACTAGGAGGAGGACATGCCATCCTAGGTTGACATGAGGAGGAAAGCAGGAAAGCCATCTTTGGGTGCCCATGCGTATCAGTGCGTAATGAGAAATCCCTGTTAACTGGGGCATGTTTCATGACACAGACACCGCCTGCAGCACGTGTACCACGTCATGATGCTACCTGGGCATCCCAAAGAGCTTCACCAATGTGATACGGGCAAATCCGAATGGGCACAGGCAGAGGCCAAGGGCAGATTCCACTTCACCAGGCTTGATCCACACAGGCCAGACACAAACTGGAGCTCAGAGCCCTTCATCCTGCTCACTGGCACAGCCCAGTCAGTGCATTAGCATGGATCAAAACTCCCCTTCCTCTTCAGAGGATCTAACTATGGGTTGGGAGTAGCCCTTCCACTCATCTGTGCTGGAGGACCAGGCCAGGTTAAACGACTCAGCAAAGGAGGCCACTGCACTTTGCAAGAGCAGGAGGGAAAGATGAAGAGGGTCAGTGCACAGTGAAAGCACATCAAAGATCAAAGATGGCAGGAAGCATGAGTCAAAGGGCAGTGAGAAAAGCCAGGGAGGGGACAGAGACAAGCTTGCCTCTAGGAGATGGCGAGTTTGGCCAGGAAAGGGCGAGAGGGCTAATCATGGGTGTCTAACAGCTTGGTCATTCCTTTGATGTGAGGGGTCTTTCAGATAGAGAGAGCAGTCAGCCAGAGTTGACCTCTGCCAGTGGTGACCTCAAGTAGTGACTGAACCACCCAACGGTGGGCCCAGAGGAAGGACGGGCATCCCTTAACTGAGTGGGCACAGGCTGTTTCAGGACTGATCTGCATCTGTCTAGCAGTAGTTCAAGTTCAGACAGCTCAGCTGGCCAGGAAAGAGAGCCAGTGTTTCAGGCCCTGCCTCCTCTGCCCAGTCCAAGCACTGCCACTCACTCTTTAAATGACCTTGGGTGAGCCGCTTAGCTTCTCTATGCCTATCTACAAAGCACCAGCATTTTGTTAGGCCAGAGATGGAGCAGAAGACGTTCTGATCTGCTGATACAGGAACACAAACGCACCCCTGATGTGCCAGTGGGACATTACTCTCAGCTGGTAATGAGAACTGCTTTCCAGAAAATACAAACAAACAAACAAACAAAACCCCATGCTTTTTCCAGCAGAAACCTCATTTCAAGTTTTATGCCTGAACCAGCTCCTGAGAATTTCTGCCTACCAACCCCATGGAGCTGAGGAGGTTTGCAGTCCTGGGCTCCATCTCACAGCAATGGAAGCTTGTATGAAAGAAACCAGAGTCATCCTACACATATATAATCTAAAAATTAAAAAACACTGTGCAGCGGGACAAGGACATTGTTTTCCAACTATTTAACAACACTAGGCATGAGAAGCACAATCACCACACTGAAATAGATGTCCCAAGTCCTGCCTGAAACATGTGGCAGGACTGTGCCTTCCGTAGCATCCTCTGTGAAATAGCAAATACATGCTTGGTGTGCCAAATTGCAGACTGCGTTTCAAGGGTCAGGCCCCCCTCCTTGCAAGATATCAATCACGCACTTTCTAAACAGAATGTATTTAGTGCACAGTAACGTTCAGTGTGAAAATCATGTTTGGCAAAGGTGGGAGTGCCTCAAGCACACACAGCACTGCAATAACCATAAAGTTAATGTACTGCACAATGAAGCTTTAGACACTAAGGCATTAAAAATGTTAACCTTTGCATTATCTCAGGTTTACAGCAAGCAGGAAACACAATAAAACAATAGTTGTCATGGTAGAAGCCAGGTTTTGAGTTCACTAAGGAGGCAGTTAGAACAATGTCTTTAGAAGACAGTGATAATCCGTATTTCTGCATTACTCACCTGCAAATCTACTGATCTGATATAAACACGTTAATTACAACTGCTATAAAACAAGCCTCCTCCTGCCTCCTTTCCCTCTCCCACCTGGTTTAAGACCGGACATAACTCAGGTTTGTTGGTTTAAAGGGGCAGGAAGCCCTTCTCATAAAATCCAAAGAACTCAGGCGGGTAAATGGTGATTTTCCATTTCCACCTGCCCTCTGTAGCCATGGAAATCAGGGGACTCGCATCCACTTGGGCTGCCTCTCCAGAGAGCAGGAACCAGCAGTGAGTTCATAGCCAGACACAGAAGTTACAAAACTCCCTGGGTTTCCTGTTTCTTTTCATCTGGTGAATGCAGACCTCTGGGTGGTTCCTCAGGCTCTTATAGCAACTGGCAATAGACCACTGAGAAGTCCTAAAATTAGGCAGAAAAAGGGCACTGCCTTCCCCAAACACTCTCAACCAGCGACAGTTCAGAAAGCCCAGCAAGAGATTTGCAAACCGACCCTTTGTCAAAGAGGTCCCACTTTCTTTGATGCCTCAAACGAAGCACTTAACACATCTGACGGGCTGCTACAGGCAAAGGAAAGGGAAAGAAACCTCAGGAGTTTAAAAATAACCTTGGAGTTGCTTTTAGGGTGGAGCACTGCCTCTGCGCGGGGAAAAGAGGCAGAAACGAAGCGACTGCCAGCGTGTGGAAGTCCTGAGGGTCTGGCCAACTTGTCCCTTACCCAGCCTGATGCCGTTCAACGCGGCCACTCTACGGCTCTGCTCCTGTAGGATGTTTTCCTGGGACACGCTGCGCTTGGGCTGCCTTCGGAAGCACTGCATGATCCAGCGTGGGGCTCAGGGAGAGGCGTCAGGCGTCGAGAAGGGTGGGGGGCCACGCCACCCCTGCGAGGTTCCCTGCTCATCCAGGAGCCTCCGGCATGTGCGGTGTCACACGGGGCTCCAAGGAGGGAGTGAGGCGGTGGGAGAGCGAAGGCAGAGGAAGGCAGGGGAGGGCAGAGTCCAGCTGGGGGTGGGACCGTGGGGCGTCTCTCCTCCTGCGTTGCTCACCAGCACG